TAAAATTCGGTTTTAACCGAAAAAGGTCAGTTTTTACGGCCGCGTCGAGCTGGGTGGGGGAAATGGGATAGAGAGAGGGGGCTTTGCAAGGTTCGACAATGTGTGACGACATCGTGATTGCCCTCCTCCAAGGTTCAACATGCAACACAAGAGGTCGTGGATTGGCCTTCGCGGGACATGTGTGTTCTTTCTGTGGTCAGGCTTTGTGTGTCAAGTTCCCGGTCCTAAAAAAAAGTTCGGATGTGGGCTAGTTTAAGGCTTTTTGCTTCATGCACTTCAGAGGACATCGAGGAAAGCCTTTCATTCCTTTCTTAACACCCCCTCTCAAACTTTCCTGTAATTAAAAACATAAATATAATAAATGTTTTTTTTTTTTTTCCATTTCGTTGGTTTCTGTACGGTCATCACCTCAGACGGTCACGTCGTCGAAATAGGAAGAAAAAAGAAGCGCGCTGAAGATTAAGCCCGAGAATTCTGCGATTTTAAGGCGTGTCCTGATGGAAGTTGTAGCGAATACCACGTATGTATATGTGCCGTTATTCTTTGAGTGATCACAAATATCACAGCTACAAGGATCACCTGATCCGGTGTCCGATGGTGTTCCTTTCATATTCACCGAAAAAAACTGGTAACTTTTTGGGGAATAAATATACACCGAAAAAAACCGAAAATTGAAATTTAAAATAAACACCGAAAAAAGTACGCCGAATTTTGAAAAAATAAAAACCGAAAACGCAGAACCCTACCTATAGTATAGTCTTGACTATTCATCTTATTCCCTTGAATAAGATGAATAATCTTTATTCAAGGGAAACACACATTTATATAGCAGCTGTTATCAGGTCTCTGCAGACCACGTGACGTGACATCGCAGATTCGATGCCACTATTGCGCCTCTCCCTCACGCATATATGGCCATGAGTAAGATGTGTATGACCAATCCGCCGTCGGCACAATACAACCTCGTAAAAACGTTCCCGATGCCTGCAACTCTGCCATTCTTTTAAGGTACTTTTGTTTAAGTGTATTTTATTGTGTGTGTTTCAGAATCTCCTTCCTCGTGCCATTTTCTTCTTATTTGTTTTCGTTATTTTGTCTTGTAATCTGCAACTGCTATCACAAGAGCGTCGATACTGCGATCTGCTGAAGTCGCGGCAGCTTGATCAGCCTTGTTACTGCCAGTTATTCCCAAGTCCTGGGTACCCAGCAGAACTCAATGGCCAGTTTCCGCTCCAATAGTCTAAGTACTCGACGGTGCTATTTCATTACAAGAGGGTTCTTCGTTATGGACTACTACATATCTAAGAGCCCTTAGTGCACGGTGCCAATCGGGAAAAAAACTGTATTTGAGAATCTATGCTTTAAAATATGCACAACTGTCGTTATTAAACCATATAGCTCGACTGTGAACACAGTAGCATCTGTATGTATTCTTAGAGTGCTCTGAGCAGACTCTGAAGCAAAAGCGCAATCGACATACTCTACAGTCTTTGTGCCATCTGTAAACAAACTTTGGCGATTTCCATAATTGGCATGAATTCTTGTTATATTTAGTCAAGTCTAAATTCCAGATTATATTATTTCCCTTCCAATGAGCCAGTGGTTGCTGGAATTCAACAATAGGTCCGCATGCGTTGAATTTATATTGTACGGTCATTGTTTTTACGCGCAAGGCAAAAGGGTGTGTGATGGATGGTTTATTCTGAAATGTGCGTTCATTGATATACTTCGTACCATTGAATGAACAGGATCGTTGGGCAAAGAGCAGATTCGCCAGAAGAACTGAACACTGAGAAAAAACCCGCGCTTCTTGGGATACCATTCGTTTGCTTCAGCATAGAGACTCAATACTGGCGATATTGGGAAAGCCCCGTTGAGAGCCGAATACCTTGGTACTGTATGGGGTCCGACGTCTTTAGAGTTGTTAGCTTTGCCGACACATACACAATACAGCCATAATCCAAAGTGGAGCGAACAATTTCTCTATAGATACGCAAAAGACGAACCCGATATGCATCCCACGATTTATCTGAGAGAACTCTCATAATGTTCAACGTTTAGAGTGCAGCTTTAAGCTGCCGTTTCCGTGTTTCGCGGCGTCGCCGTCGCCGTTGGCGTAACCGCCCCGCTAAATTTAGCGAGAAACTGAATTGGTGTCGAGGTCACGTGACGTCATTTTGCCGCTAAATTTAGCAGAGAAACTGAATTTATTCATGAGTGAAGTGACACAAAGGCATGTGACGCCATTTTCCCCGCTAAATTTAGTGGGAAAACTGATTTGGTGTTGAGGTCACGTGGTGTAAATGTTCAGCTAAATTTAGTGGGGCAACTGTGGGAAGAGGGAAGAGTAGGGAGGAGCAGGATGGGAGGGCATGCAGGAAGAAGAGGGGACAAAATATATAGAGGGACAAAATATATAGAGGAGACTTAAAATCTAAGGGAAATTAAATCAAGAAAAATGGAAAATAATATTGCTCCACTGCCCGCAATATTATTTTCCATTTTTCTTGATTTATTTCCCTCTTCTTTTCAGCCTCCTCTATTCCCTCTCTTCTCTGTACTTTCTTCCCCCTCTCCTAGAAGAGAGGGGGAACGGAGGGTACGAAGGAGGGACATACCCTTCCCTCCTCCTCTTCAACAGCTGCGCTCCAATTTCGGATTACACAGATTTGTAAACCTCTCATTTTTTTCTGGCATCTCAATCTCAGCGATTTAATATGTGGTCCGAACGGGACCTTTTTGAGAAGAGTGAGGCTAAGGAATTTGTGTTCGGATCGGACTGGCAGCTCAACCCCGGAGCAATAAAGTGAGGGGTCAGCAAAACGGCACCCTCTACGAGATTGGCGCTCGCCAGTAGACAAATTACAATATTGGAAAAAACAAGAAATCTGAACATTATCTACATATAGTGAGTGCGAAACATTTGGTGGCATCACCTGCGACAAGGAGCTGATTTTCGAGAGGAACAAAGTCACGCTCACAACGCACCTTTGAGGGACACTATTCTCCTGAATAAATGAAGCGTAAAGCGTAGTTCCCAAACGCACGTGAAAATTGCTATAGTTTAAGCGGCAATGCAGTTGAACATTCTTCCCGGTACAACAACGCGTGAAAGGTCCTGCAAGGTACCATACCTCCAGGTGATATCGTATGCCTACTCCAGATCAAGGAACACAAAGAGATTGAACGTTCTATTTACAAATGTTTCCCTTGTACGGGTTTCAAGACGAACAAGGTGGTAAACTGTTGATCTGTAAGCACAAAACCCACACTGGAAGCGCCTCAAGGCATTGTTTCTTTCTAAAATAAAAACAAGTTGGTTATTAACTAGTCGCTCAAAGGTTTTGCCTCAACATCACTGCCGCTAGCGGTCACAGCACCGCTAATGTGGAAGAGCTTTTAAGCTCGAGCTGTAAGCTCTATTGCATGGTACGGTTGCATTTTATGCTATCCATTTTTTTTTGTATTTTTCCGATTGAAGGCCCATAGGTTTTCCGCTTTAGTTTATCATAGGGCGAGACAAAACATATGCCTACGCTTTTCATTATCATAGATGCTGCGGCCAGTCCTGCATACTTGAACCACCAATGGAAGCACCAATGGGAAACATAATATTTAAGAGTTAATTTCTTCAGAAGTGCTGCTTTTCATATTTTTTTCAGGGACCACTTGTGTTGTGGATACGGCAGAGCTCCTCTCGGCAGCAGATGCAGGCGACACATATGAAATTGTTGGTCTTGACGTAAGCAGAGAGTTACCTGCAGCTGCCACGGGCACCCCTTCGATCGATGTTGGAGGCCATGCACCTGCAGCTTCACCCGAGCAGACCATGGAACCTGAAGCTAGCCGTCAGGTGCAGAGGGGTAAGCTCCAGGCTTCCCAAGCAGCTCAAATGTTCTATAAACCTCCTCAGAACATTTCTTGTGATTAGGTGAAGGGCTTGAGGTAAGGGGAGGTGCATGAACCAACACAAAGAGAGAAACATGAGCACTACCATTTGCAGTCGCCACGAACTGAAACCCACGGTGCCTGACATCGTTCGGAAAAAAATTCTTGCTCTGTATGTTTGTATTTTGAAATACCTTTTTTACAGTTTTTACCAAAGTACCTCAGGGGTATCCTGTTACATAGAAGAGAAGTCTATCTTAATATCTGCATCTAAGAAGAAAAGTTGAATATTAGTTGTGAACACTTAATGTAATTCACGTGCAGTAAAAGAAAATCTACTACGGTACTTCATTTCACAATCTGGGCACGTTGATCTCACCTCTGTTCTTCAAGGCCTAGGTTGCCTGACATTCCTGTTGCCTTTGTGCTTCCTACGATCACTCTGTGCTCGTTCATGTGCTTTGTATTGGTGCGTTCCAGACTATTTCATGACTCTATCATGTTTCCTGGTACTGCGTATGTCGTTGTGGGGCTTCTTATCTTGTAGGAAGCTAAGGAGGCTGCAGCAAAGTAAATGAAGTTGCTGAATATATTCATGTCAATTTGCAACTCCATGATATCCTTGCCCAATGTTATTCTTTCGGATCAGATATGCAGCTGGGCAAAGTGACCACAGTGTAGACCTTTAGGAAAGGTTTGTGCACATTTCTGAAGAAACATTTGTCTAACATGCATTTCATGTTTTTCTTACAGGAAAAAAAAGAGAAAATGAGAATCTAATATTTTTTGAGAAAAGATTACAGTTTGAACAGGGCACCCGAGAGAGGGAGAACAAGCTGGAGGAGCGGCGGATTTCACTCGAAGAGAAGCGCCTCATCTTCGAGGAGAAGCGCCTGGCCCTCGGCAGAGACAAGCTCGAGCAACAAGTTCGTGAGTGGGAGGAAGAAAAAGAGGAGAGAGCTCAAGAAAGGGCAGAAAGAGAAAGGGATCGTGCGCAGGAAAGACACTTTTTTCTCGCACAGCAGCAAGCCATGCTGGAGCTCGTGCAATCAATGATTGCTAATAAGTTCAAATAGACAGCAGGCTTTGAAATTTCACTTTTATTTGTTTAATTACCATAACATAAATATTTTTATATTCCTCCACACATCCTGCAAGTACAAATGTAGAAATGGAAGCTCCAATAAAGATTACTATAGCCAAAGAAAACTTGTTCAAAAGAAAATAACAACAGCGTCTTTTAACTCGGCAATCAAAATAACTAGAAAGGCCACTTTATGGTAAATAAATAGTGTCACCAAAATTATGTAGAACATGCGAACTGTATAATCTCATGGGCGCAATATCTTGACAGCAGCTAAAGAAGTGCTGCATGAAATAGCGCTTAATGTGCAACACCTAAAAAAGACTAGAAAGACCACGTTTAGGAAAATTTACAGGGCCCACCAAGCCTATACGAGACATGCAAACTGTGTCTTATCTTATAAGAATGCTGGCTGCCACGGTTTCATGGAGGCAAAGCACCAGCCTACGGATACCCAGTTGGTTTGAATGTTTGTAGAGCTGCCCGCAGTCTGACGGAGGCTTATTGCAAAGAAGGTTCCATGATATTGAACTTTCTCTTGTACGTCAGAACATCTCCAGATGGATTAAATTAATCCTCAGTCCTGCACTGGGCCACGCCAGATACACTTTGTCGCTTTGGCACGTAGAATCCCCAAAAGTAGAGCTCAGTAGAATGGCCCAACCAGGGGAGGTCGCTCGCTCAAAGTCGAAATGGTGGCTGGGCCGGGGACAACACGGCAATTCTTCTTGATGCAGGTGGCGGCCAAAGGTGACTGCTGAAATTGTCAGTTATTGAAGGGCTCATTCAGTAAAAACATGGAACGCCCACTGATTGAGTCATCTAATCACTGACGGTTTAGGCAGTCACCTAAGCGCCTTAATACGAAAGGGTGGTGATAAGTGTAGATTGCCAGCAAACTGTTGTTTTCCTTGGCCTAACTACAATTTCGGCCTTGAGCAAGCGACCTTCCCTGCTCAAGCTGTTCTATTGAGCGCTATGTAATGGAGCACTGATCTTATGAGATAAGACACAGTTTGAGTGTTCCATATAAGTTTGCTGAGCACTGTACCAAGAGTATCTTAAAGTTTGTGTCTGTCCCGTACAGAGGGTTTCAAGTATTGCCCCAAGTTGGGTGCACGGAGCCCAAAGAATATACCAGTCTGGCTACCGTACAGGCATGTATGACAGTTAGTAAAAATTGCCCCCACCCGATACATTCTCCCCACATCCTGCAAGTACAGCTTCTGGTTTTTCTTGAAGTCCAGGAATGCGAACTCGGATACTATTTTACCGAACCCCCACTCAACAGCTTGTCGCACAGTACTCATGCCACTGTTGAAGAGCACTTGCTGTTGAGTGAGGGTGGCACCTCCGTACGGCCTCATCAGAAGCCGCCGTAATGGGTACGCTGGGTCGCCGTAGATGGTGTAAGAGCGGCCCTGCACAAGCTTTTCCAACTTTCCGTAGAGGCCACTTTCGCGCAAAATGCCTGCATAAAACAGAGAAACAAGAAGGCACTGTACTTTTTACCACTTTTAAAAACAGAAGTTGCATGGTATTGATTCGCCAGTGTGCTCATTTGGCATGCTCCATTTTGCAATGCAGTGTGAATGCTGCATTACAATACTTTGTCCTCTGTAGAACAGCACACTCTTTCAGAGCTAAGTAAATATTTTTGCAGCGAACCTCGAAGAAAGCAAGGGCTGCATAAATTGGAAGAGATATAGTTAAATCGGAACATGCCACTGAATCTTAACCAAAAATGAAGCACAAAACAGCATTTCAAGGCTTGTTATTTAAGCTAAGCAACTGGACTAGCTCATTTGAAAGAATTGCATTAATAATTGTATTGAACACATGATTTCCTTCGTGATTTGTATTTGGTTCGGTGCTACCTCTATAGCAAGACTGCGTATTCAGTGTTGCTACAGAGTTGAAATGCTGATTAATGGGAAGTGTTAATATCAAACGTGGAAGCATGCAGGTCCAGAACAGCTGCACCCACCAGCGTCATGCCTGTGTCCCGGATAGGGACCATCAAGTTGGCAGATGATGCCGTTTGCACACATTATTGACTAGTACTCCAACGCGTGCAGCCTCTTGTGTCCGGAAATGTAGATCCGCTGGTTGGTGGAAGGGCGGCAGGTGGGCCTCGCCGTCCCATCCACGAAACCCCAGCAGTTTGGGAGGGGTGCACCTCGGGCATGAACGGCCTGCAATAATGGCACATTCTTAGCGAGACCTTCATGGTATCTAAAACATGATTTGCTTTGATCAAGTGTCTTGTTTTTATAGTTAATTTTATTCTCCAACTGCTTGGTGTCAGTATTCCTTATTTGTAGTATTGATGAGTTTAAATGCAGCTTTTTATTTTCTTTATTTTAACATCTTGCCAGCTATGAGGCCAAAGCAGGTTGGTAGGCACACTTAAGTATTAAAAATGTTATCAAGAAAACCATCCACATTTTCACTATTTAGAGCTTCTGTGGATAGGCAGTTCTATTCTTCAATACATTTAACAGAAAGGATTTTAAAAGAGTCCATATTGAAGCGATAAGGCTCATTAAATTTGTTATGTTTTGTTCTAGTTGTGTTACCGAAGTTTGCATATGTAGCATATTTATTAATATCAATTGAATAACGACCATATAACAAGACCTTATCAGTGTACTTTCTCCCATGCACAGGAAGTGTTGTTTTTTGTAGTATACAAATGTGCCATGAAATAAAATCAATTACTAAACAAACATCCCTCTTTAAGCTGTATGTTTTTTTCTAAATTAGTTCTGTTCAACAGTTCTGGGTAACATATTTGACCTCCTTAATTGGAAATGACAACGGTAGGCACGAATTTCTTTGGGGGGAGGGGGAGGGAGAAGAGGTCTGAGGCTGGGAGGGAGGGGGGGGGGGCTAGGATTGTTATGACCTGTTGTGTAAAGAGGGAAGGGGAGTCAAAATGCATGTGTATATTATATGGTTGACTAGATATTGGGGAGGGGGGAGGGGGGCTTAAAGCTTATGAGCATTGAATATTGCAAAGCGTTTTATGAAATGCCGGCCAAATCACTCCAGCAAAAAGTGTGTATCGCACAGAGAAAAAGTTGTCATATTGGTCTCTGTCAAAGAGTCTCTTTAAGAAGATGAATAAACTTTGTTGTAATTAGGTTCTTAATTACTTTTGTATTTTTAATTAGGAAACATTAAAACGGTTAAATATGAAAAAAATAGCATTAAGCCAGTGCACCTTACAGAAATATTTGGCGCGTGCAACATCCCCCCTCCCTTCAAAAAAAAACAAAAACGGAATTGGGTTGAATATATAGGTTCTGGTTTTCTATGGGAACGCATCTTTGCGTCGGCGGTCCTGTTCCTCGTGGGCAAATTAAGCAACTACCGTGCGTAATTTGACCGTGTGCGCTACGCTTACTTCTACGGGGGAGGTGAGGAGATAGTCGCACGCTTTGACCTCGGGGAAGAGGACTGCTGGTGCGGAGATGCGTTTTGATAGGACACCGAAACTTAAAAACACATCCAATAGTTAATTTTTTTCGGAATGTCGTAAAATGCTGCGCACGTTTTTCTTAAATTTAATGGTTTAAAAACGCCGCTCTGTTAAGGAGCAGACTTACTCTTGCGAAGCGTTCCGTCGCCCAAGCTCAGCCAGCTGTGGGTGGTCAGGTCGTCCAGCAAGTGACCAAAGGTGCCGTCGATGTGCTTGAGCACCTGACCGACGATGCTCGACATTGCCGACGAATGACGGCCGAAGATCGGCTCCAAATCCCACCAGCGGTTTGGGTAGGCAAGTCGGCGCAGGCACATAAGGAGGGCCTCCTCCCCGCTAACAACAACCCCTTGGCTGCTGTACACCACCTTTGGCATCAGCAGGGCGTCATTTAAGAGTCCAAAATCGTCCTTTTCAAAGCGAAACATGCGCCGAAAAGTCAGGTCGTCGAGTTTGGCGACATCCAGGAGTCCCCCCACTTGACTTGTATCTACGCGGTTCTGGCTCCCGGTATTGGAGGAACATGTCATCCAAATCGCTCCACGACATGTTCATATGCAGAAGATGGTCAACCAGCACACTGGATCGCGATCGGCGTATTGGAGGCATGATTAGAAAGAAGAAGAAAAAAAAAGAAACCACTTCACAGAGCTCAAAGCGTGCGCAACCTAGGTTCGTAATTTGGCGCGAAATTGTGCACGTGTGGATTGTCTTGGCTCTGTTAGTTGTGACCTACAAAACTAAAAATTAGGTTGGCTGTGACCAAAAGTATACGTTAAAACAGGTTTAAAGATGTTTGTTGTGACAAAAAATTTTTTTTTTTTTTTTTTTTTTTTAATTTACAGCATTTCGCGTGCCTTTTGAAATGCGAGAATTGCATTACTAGCTGCAACTACCTCTTGGCGGCGCTGCAAGCGCGCGACGTTGCGTTTTGCGTCGCCGCGGGGAAACCAGGGAAACGCTATTCTAAAACTCTCTTGCCTAGCGAACGCTAACGCAAGCGCTAAATTTAGCGCGAGCGTGCGCTAAAATTGCGTACGTTATTCTAGAACTCCCTACTGCCTCGGGTCCTCAACTTATGAGGCACTAATGTTACTGCTTTTGATCACACCAAGGGAGGCAGAAAATTGGATACATGATTCAAGGTGATATAGAATGACACACATTTACTGAAAACGAACAACACATTAATAAGGATCATAAAAGAAATCATGGAAACAATGAATTTACATCTAGTTGTAAAGATGACAAAAGCAGTTTTTGCTATACCGAAGTTTCAACTGTGTCGTAGTTAAGTGACACGTCTCAACTTCAAGTACTTAGTTTTCTGACGCTTTGCAGCTCTTGCTTGATTTAATGCTTTAGTGAAAAAGTGCAAGCGGGTGTGGATGTAAAAGCTGACGACATCTGCAGAGAGCTTGCTGCTATGAGTAGGGCATCCAAGGCTAAGAAGGCATTTTGCCTTAATCATAGCGGGAACATCTAGTATGCTTTCCTTGTGTAGTTTTGTCTTGCTGAAACATGATGTGAAATTGTTTTCAAGCCTTTCAACAAACCGGTAAAGAGGTGCTGCCGGGTGTAGCAGGCCACCTTCGTCACACCCCTTAGCAAAAAGAGGCCGTACTTCAAACGAAGTTGAAATATATTTAATACGAATATTCATTTTGTATTTATTCTGTATGATTTTGGCCGCATTCGGAATACGCGCGTAAGGTATTCAAAATACATTATAAATATGAATAAAAAAATATTTGAGATATACCCAAAGTATTATCCCTTCACACTCAAGATGCCATTTGTGCATTAAAAACCGGTTACACAATTTATTTTTATTTTCGATTTTGTCAGCAAATGGTGTCCCTGTGGTATTTGAAGGCACTACTAAATACATCTCACAAAGCTACATTAGAAACGAACACAAACAGAAACACCATGACGCACTGAACAGCTCATTCACAGTCCCGTTGACTGCTCTAGAGCCTTATATAGCCTACATATTGAAGGTAATCATTTTTTCGGTGACCACCTCTGCGCTTATTAAGGTTCCAAGTATTCGATCTTCACCTCGGGAGTCTGTCAAAGGGGAAACAGTGTTTTGAAGTTCGTGGACGATATCTCTTACTAAAAAGCATTGGTACAACTAATAACAATTCGGCGCAGTCTCTAAAACCATATCCACACAAACGGCTCATAAAATACATGTTATTGCTTCTCTGCGTAGCACCACTCAGGACGAAGCGAATCAAGGCAGTTTCTTCACTTTAAAAAGCTGTAAACGACTTTATTTTCGTGAGGACCTAATTCTCGCAAAGTTCGCGAATCGCCTACAATTCCGAAAAATAGGTCCCGTGAACCATTCCGGCAAGATGTAAAAACATTAAAATCTATATTGCGAACCCAGCACGTCGCGAAAATTAGAATTTGCAAATTATTCCGAAACGCCAACTTTGACCTAAATCGCGAAATATTGAGCCCGCGAAAAATAAATATTTTACAGTAGTTGCTTTGCCTTTCCTTTTTAGTAGTAGACTATTTAATATGGTAGTTAATGTCACTATATTAAAGTCACTATTCACATCACGTACAATGGTGAGTATGCACGTTCAGTGAACTAACATTGTGCTAACAAAACCACGCCAAACATATTTGTTCACAGCACCTGCTGAAGCTTTCCAGCATCAGCAAATGTTGTGGTTGTAGTTCCCGAACCCCGTTTGTGATTGGTGTGCAAGGAACTGATCAGGTGTGTTCTTGATAGAAAAAAGGAAACAATAACATAAACTGGGCTGATTTATCAGTGCGATGCTGCGCAATTCAGTTGACAAACTAATCAAATGTTGTATTTAGGCGCTTCAGTGTACTCCATATCTGCTTGAAGTGAACTTCTAGTAGGGGAGCTTTTCAATATTTTGGTAGTTTAAGTCAAACTACCAAAGTATCGCATTCAAAAGGTACTTTAAGCATAACACAACAGTGTTTAGGATTTTCAGGTATTTTAAGAGTATTCTGCACGTATTTTTGATTGCTCCATTTTTTAGGGTTGGAGTATATTTTGCATGAATTAAATAAATATTTCAAGAAATATATGTGAAAGGTATTTTGTGCCTATTAATTTAGTATTTCCATATTTCAAAACGCATGAAGGGAACTTCAAATGTAGTTTAAGTAAAGGTATTTTAAAATGATTTTTAGAAGTATACTTTAGTACTAAGTAAAAAAAAAAGAAGTTTATATTTTCGGTCTATTTTTCGTGTACTTACAATTATGAACTGTATTTCAAATACACTCAAATTAGAATGTGGTATATTTCAAACGTATTAGTTTTCGCAAAGGGACGAGCGAGTGAACGATGTCAGAGAGCCTACAGATTCAGGGGATGTCAGAAGAAGTGCACAACAGTCTTCACATTTGTAGCTCAACACTCGCTTTCTGGCAGCATAACCAGCCATGTGATATATCAATCGCGCATCACTCTTCTCTGACACAAGTGCACCGTGATCACGCTCCGCCGCAAAGTCTACCAGATCACTGCTTGAAGCATCAGCGGTATCTTCCGCTGATGCTTCAAGCAATATTTTTATATCTAAT